CTTACGAGTACATGTGCCATCCGGCGCTTGCCTCTGACTTCTGGGCCATCAACTGGGTTGAGGGCTTCAAGAACACGAGCAGCATGTCAGAGAGTGGCACGATGCAGATCGGAGGGGTGCCCAGGCATCCCAACGTCGTTTCCCTGCCCATGCGCACGAACACGAAGTTCGGCTGGCGCCCAGACATGCCAGACCATCGCGACCTCCACTTGACCTTTGGCAAGGTCGATGCTCCTAGCCAGATCAAGAAGAAGGCCGAGGGAAGCTCGATCTGCATGTATACTGCAGTCGTAGCTTCGTTTGTGTGAAGGTGTTCATTGAGCTTGAGCTTGTTGGGTGTGGTGTGTTCGTGCGCTCCAAAGTTTGCCGTGTGCTGAGGAGCGAAAGAGATCATTGACCTGCGACCCATGAACGGTGGCTTCCCCATCTTCGATCAGGGACATCTCGGCAGCTGCACAGCAAACGCTTTGGCAGCAGCCTTCCACTTCACCCTCCACAAGATGCAGGTGGAGAACCACAAGGATTTCGCAGACTTCACCCCCAGCCGTCTGTTCATCTACTACAACGAACGACTCGTCGAGGGCAGCGTGAACCAGGATGCTGGTGCCATGCTCCGCGATGGCATCAAGACGATGTCCAAGGTCGGCGTTTGCCCAGAGAGCGTCTGGAAGTATGATGACCAGCATGATTTCTTCAAGCAGCAGCCCAATGACAAAGCCTACGAGCTTGCACAGAAGTGCAAAGTCATCGGCTATGCGCGCGTGGCACAGGACTTGAGTCAGTTCAAGATGTGCATCAAGAGCGGCTACCCCTTCGTCTTCGGCTTTGCCGTCCTGACAAGCTTCCAGACAGCGGAGGTTGCCCGGACCGGCAAGATGGTGATGCCCCAGGCAACCGACCAGCAGCTGGGCGGCCATGCCGTGTGCGCTGTAGGCTACGACGACTTCCAGCAGTGCTTCATCGTCCGCAACTCCTGGGGAGAAGCGTTGCTCGGCTAGGTATAGCTGTTCAGGGTATGGCGGAGTCTGTGTTTTTGTTGTTTACCTTGTTGCGGCCTGTCAGGTGGGGCGACAAGGGCTACTTCTACATGCCGTACGAGTACATCTGCCACCCTGCGCTCGCCCACGACTTCTGGGCCATCAACTGGGTCGACGGCTTCAAGAATGCGAGCACCAAGAATCCGATCAAGAAGTGATGGACTCACAAGAATCCTTTGTACAGTCAGGTTCCGTGCCAATTGCTATCCCCAGAGGGGTGTCTGGCTGGGCACACCCCTACAACGTAGGGGGGTTTAATCCTACGGTCAAACAGGTGAACAGGGTATGTAAAAATTGTAAAGGATATGCAACTTCTGAAACAACTTCAGAAAAGAGATGAGTCTTTTCCTGTGAGTTTTGCTTCAGTGGCATGCCGTGTTAGGCTGCATGTTCAGAGTCTTTGCAAGTATGAGCACCAAAGTCTCCAATGTCAAGCCAATGTAGAGGCTTCGGACATGGATGCTTACCTAACCCCCCGCGGCTCTCACCCTAACAGTAACAAGCTCAGGCGGAAGGCATAACTGTGTTTCAGCATTTTTATGTGCACGATCTTGGTGCTGTTTCATTTGGATCTCAGCCTCGCGGAACACCTTGCCGTCCTTTCTCTCGCACTCGTCTCCTGCTGCCCGGCAAAAGCTAGCTGCTGTCTGCTGGTCTTTCCGAACACAGGGCCTGCTTGCTCCCAAACCAAGCAGTCTAAACTCGCCGCTCATGCGAGATGCTGCTTCATGCCCCACACCCAGTCCCCCACCGAGGTCCGCCCAGCATGGGGAACTGCAACGCGAGCAGCGTGAGCTCCAGCAGCGAGCTGCAGGTGGGAGCGGCGCAGAGGCATCCGAGCCT